CTAAAACGTATCACCCAAGGCTTCATCCAACCTGGTCTTGAACACCGCCAGGGACGAAACATTCACAACCTCCCTGGGCAACCTGTTCCAGTGCCTCACCACCCTAACAGGAAAGAATTTCCTCCTCATATTCAATCTAAACTTTCCCTGTTTTCCCCTTGTCCTGTCACTACAGTCCCTAATGAAGAGTCCCTCCCCAGCACCCCTAGAGGCCCCCTTCAGATACTGGAAGGCTGCTATGAGGTCTCCACGCAACCTTCTCTTCTCCAGGCTGAACAGCCCCAACTTTCCCAGCCGATCTTCATATGGGAGGTGCTCAGTCCCCTGGTCATCCTCATGGCCCTCCTCTGGACTTGTTCCAACAGATTCATGTCCTTTTTATGTTGAGGACACCAGAACTGCACACAATACTCCAAGTGAGGTCTCACGAGAGCAGAGTAGAGGGGCAGGATCACCTCCTTTGACCTGCTGGTCACGCTCCTTTTGATGCAGCCCAGGATACAGGTGGCTTTCTGGGCTCTGAGCACACACTGCTGGCTCATGTTCATTTTCCCATCGACCAGCACCCCCAAGTCCCTCTCCGTAGGGCTGCTCTGAATCTCTTCTCTGCCCAACCTGTAGCTGTGCCTGGGATTGCTCTGACCCAGGTGTAGGACCTTGCACTTGGCATGGTTAAACTTCATGAGTTTGGCATCAGCCCACCTCACAAGCGTGTCAAGGTCCCTCTGGATGGCATCCCTTCCCTCCAGTGTATCACCCGAACCACACAGCTTGGTGTCATTGGCAAACTTGCTGAGGGCACACTCAATCCCACTCTCCATGTCAGCAATGAAGATGTTAAACCAGACCGCTCCCAACACTGATCCCTGAGGGACACCACTCATTACTGGTCTCCAGCCGGACATTGAGCCATTGACCGCAACTTTGTGTGTGGCCATCCAGCCAGTTCTTTATCCACCGAGTGGTCCGTCCATCAAATTGATGTTTCTTCAATTTAGAGACAAGGATATCATGTGGGACAGTGTCAAACGCTTTACACAAATCCAGGTAGATGACATCAACTGCTCTACCCCTGTCCATGAGTTCTGTAGCCCCATCATAGAAGGCCATCAAATTGGTCAGGCAGGATTTCCCCTTAGTGAAGCCATGCTGGCTGTCACCAAGCACCTTGTTGATTTTAATGTGCCTTAGCATGCCTTCCAGGATAATCTGCTCCAAGATTTTGCCAGGCACAGAGGTGAGACTGACTGGTCTGTAATTGCCCGGGTCATCCATTTTCCACTTCTTGAAAATGGGGGTTATATTTCCCAGTTGTCAGGATCTTCACCTGACTGCCATGATTTTTCAAATATGATGGCCAGCGGCTTAGCAACTTCATTTGCCAGCTCCTTCAGGACCCGCAGATGGATTTCATCAGGACCCATGGACTTGTGCACGTTCAGATTTTTAAGATGGTCTCGAACCAATTCCTCTCCTACAGTGGGCCCAAGGTCTTCATTCTCACAGTCCCTGCGTCTGCCTTCCAAGACTTGGGTGGTGCGGTCAGAGCCTTTGCTAGAGAAGACCGAGGCAAAGAAGTCATTCAGAACCTCAGCCTTCTCCAAATCCTGTGTAGCTAGTTCACCCGAGAGCTTCCTGAGGGGGCCTACATTCTCCCTAGTCTGTTTTTTATTTGCTATGTACCTGTAGAATCCCTTCCTGTTATCCTTAACATCCCTAGCCAAGTTTAATTCTAACTGGGCCTTAGCTTTCCTAACCTGGTCCCTAGCTTCCCGGACAACATCCCTGTACTCTTCCCAGGCCGCCTGTCCTTGCTTCCACTTTCTATAAGACTCTTTTTTCATTTGAATTTTCCTCAGCAGCTCCTTATCCATCCAAGGAGGTCTCCTGGCCCTCCTGCTGCACTTCCTTCTAGTTGGGATGCAACACTCCTGAGCTTGTAGCAGGTGATCCTTGAAGACCAACCAAGAGTCTTGGGCCCCCCTGCCCTCTAGGGCTATATCCCATGGAACCTTACTAAGCAGGCTCCTGAAGAGGCCAAAGTCTGCTTTTTTGAAGTCTAGGGCAGTGAGCTTGCTGCACGCTCTTCTCACTGTCCTGAGGATCTCAAATTCAACCATCTCGTGATTGCTGCATCCAAGGCTGCCCTGGAGCATCACATTTCCAATAAGCCCTTCCCTGTTGGTGAGCACGAGGTCAAGCATGGCACCTCTCCTTGTCGGTTCCTCTATTACTTGCAGAAGTTGTCTTCCACACAATCGAGGAACCTCCGGGATTGCTTGTGCCGGGCCATACTGTCATTCCAACAGATGTCAGGGTGGTTGAAGTCACCCATGAGAACAAGAGCCTGTGAGCGTTTTCCTATCTGCCTATAGAGTGCTTCATCCGCAGGTTCTCCTTGATGAGGCGGTCTATAACAGATTCCCACAGTAATGTCTCCCATTGCTGTTTTCCCTTTAACTCTGTTAACTGCTCACCAGTCCCCAAACAGAGTTCCATACTGTCCAGCCTATCCCTAACATAAAAGGCAACTCTCCCTCCGCGCCTGCCAGGCCTGTCAGGCCTGTCTTTTCTAAAGAGTCTGTAACCTTCCATTCCAACACTCCAGTCATAGGAGCCATCCCACCATGTTTCTGCAATGCCTATTATATCATACCCCCGTAGACGAGCACACATCTCTAATTCCTCTTGTTTGCTCCCCATGCTACAGGCATTTGTATAGAGGCATCTGAGCCGAACTCATTGGCTGGAGCAGCCGGAATATCTCTACATTGCTCCGAGCATTTATTATAGGTGCTGGCAACTGACTGGGTGCGTTGGGATGGAATGATGCCCCCCTCCCCCAACACATTTAGTTTAAAGCCTCCTTGACCAGTCTGGCAAACCTCCTACCAAAACTGCTCTTCCCCTTCTTTTAGACCAGCTCCACCAGCCCCCACTAGACCTGGCCTACAAACTTGGGTCCCATGTTCAAGACACCCAAACCCCTGACTGTGACACCACCCTTTTAACCATTTATTAACCTGGCCAATCCTCCTAGCTTTTTTTAGGTCCTCCCCTGTATCCTGGAGAATAGATGAGAACACTGTCTGAGCTCCAGAGCCCCTAACCACCTCTCCCAGGGCTCTGTAGTCCTTCTTTATGTTCCCCAGGCTACTACTATCTATATCCCTAGCACCCACATGTATCACCAGAAGTGGGTAATAGCCTGTGGGACTTACTAGAGCAGGCAACCTCTCTGCCACATCCCTGATCCATGCCCCTGGTAGGCGACACACCTCCCTTGAGACCCGGTCAGGCCGACAGAAGAGTGCTTCTGTCCCTTTCAAAGTAAGAGTCCCCTACTACTACGACCCGCTGCTTTTTCCTGGCAGCACCAGTAGAGATCTTTACCAGTCCCCATCAGCCGGCTGGTTCTGGCCCGAATCCGCTTCCTCATGAGCCCCCTGCAGGACAGCAAAGCGGTTCTGCGTGGGGACAACAGGTTTACGAGGAAGTCCCTTGCTTTTAATTGTCCTTTCCCTCCTTTTTTTGGTTTGTTTTTTTTTTTTTTTTGTCACCAATTCCCAGCTTTGCAGGCTAATGGCCTCCTTCTTTCCTCCATGAGCTATAGGGGAAGCTTGAGGACTCTGCAAAGTTTGGGCCAGGAGCAAGAATTCTTGCTTCCTCTCAGCTACCCTGACATCCTGCAGTCTATCAATGGCATCCCGCAGCTCAGCCCCTGCTGCAGGAGAACCTCCACTAGGGAGCACCGAGTGCAGCCCTGCCCATTGAGTACCTTTCCCTCACCAGACCAGTGCAGCCACTCCCTACACCCCGAAGTCTGCACTGCAGCCTCCCCTCTCATCGCCTCTGTCTGGGTACCTACGGTGGCCACCGCTGGGGCAGCCAGAGCAGAGCTCCCAGACCGGACCCTGGTCATACGGCAACCGCTCACCATCCCGCTCGCACTACCGTGCGAACTGCCTCGACCCGCTCCGTTCGCTGAGCTCCCTGGGGCAGGTTTTTAACCAATCAGGGCTAGTGTCGCTCCTCCTGGCTCCGCCCCCCTGTGAGTCCCTGCTCGCGTCAGCTGAGCTGCCGGCTCCTGGGCAGATCCTGTCGAGGGCTTGAGGCTCCCTCGGTGGCTCTTGTCGCTCTGACTTGAGGCTCCTGGACGCTGATCTCCCCCCGCTCCGGTGTTCAAGGCGTCCTCTCTCGAGCTACTCACCTCAGCAATTGACCCAATACAATATAATATAATAAATATAATATAATATAATATAATATAATATAATATAATATAATATAATATAATATATAATAATCACATTGCCACTATTTCTCACATCTTGGCAGCTCCTAACCAATTTCTGCATTAATTTAGGCCTTATTAATTCAGAAAAAAAAATTAGTAGTATGCAGGGTAATTGCTAAAAGGCAATTCCGCCAGCCCAAATAACTATTAATTTATCAGATAGCTTCCAAATGTGCATTGGAATGACTGTCACGCAACTTCCAATGTTTTAAAAATTACTTTCAGAAACTCAGAAAATTTTTTAGATATTCAAAAACTTACAAAACTAGATCCCAAAAATGAACCTCAAAACCAAACTACAGAAGTATTTCTATTAGAACAAGATAACGAACATGGCTGGTGGAAATACTGAAATAACAAAATCTCTCTTTTGCAGCACTCCAGGCAATAATTTTGCATTTTAGTATCACTGAAATTAAAGCAAATTCAAGAGGAATGCCAAGTTAGTGGTTTACAATTCAAATCAAAACATCTTACTAAACACATTTATTAGTTTTTCTCAACTATCATTTTTTTAAACTCATGTATTCCAACAGCAGTTTCTAATCACCTGCATAACTTAATACTCCTCCTTTGAAAACATAAAAGCATAGGGAGAAACTGAAAATTAACAGATAACTTCTATTACATGCATAAAGTAATCAAAGATGAAAACCAAGAAAAGTATGAATAAGTTTGGAAACAAAAAAAGCAGAAGCCTTACCTTGAAAAGCAGCTGCATTATGAGATATTAAAAATTTTAATGTAGCGCTTGATGTTTGAAGCACTTGCTCTATATCTTGCTTTGCCACAGCCTGGTATCTTTCTTCCATCTTCTTGATGCAGCATGTTGGATTTTTAGAAGCACAAACCTGGAGATCAACCCCTAGAGAGATATTTGCATTGATTACTACAAAACACAAGTATGCAATACACAAATATATAGCAAACATTTGGGGGGGGTTTCAGTTGATGGGGCTTTTTTCATATAGGTATTGACACATAAAAGAAATACCCAAAGCTTTAAAGACATCTGGTCTTGTTAAACAAGAAAGAGAAGGGGATACTAACTAAAATTCTCTGGGAAGATAACACTTACTACGATTAATTAATGACATATAATTTCCCTGACACTATAAACATTTTCCAGCTGTGAATATTTCTAACTAATGTTGGTAAAATACTTTCCCTTTTATTTCCCTTTGACTAAACCTTTTAAATATTTTTTTCACCTATTTTTCTCTGATAAATCTTTCTAAGGTAGTATGAATATAGTTAGGGAGAAGGGAGGCCTCACACATTTTGGACCCTAAATATTCCATTAGTTATCTTATGTAAATTAGGTGTTTAAAATAACATACCAGAAAGCTAATTAAGAAAAATTAAGCTGAATAGGAGCATTCTGGAAGAATGGTAAAATCTTTAAATGTATTATATCAAATTCATGTCCCTTTATCCATGAAACAAATTTATGGAAGGGATTCCTGGCCCTGGAATTTCACTTCAGCTACAGATTGGCAAAAAAAGTGCTATTGTTTATATAGAGCAATCCCAGTCCTGAAGCAGGAACCCACTGTGTCATATTTAGACACCAGAAACGATCCAGAAGATTCCTTAGAAATCACATTCAGAAAAGCACAAGACTAGAATGAAATAGGTAAATTATATGAACCATAAAAAAAAAAAGGAATTTGCCCAAGACATGGATGAACACTTGTACAATACTCCATAGAAAGATTTTGATTCCCATGACAAATAAACAAATTTCCCTTGGTAATTACTGATAATACAGTCTCAGATTTGCTGAACATTTCTTTCTGGCACTAATGGTTTCTATCTTCACAATTCCTGGTCCCCCATCCAAAAGCAAGTTTGGAAGGAGAATACATTTGGACCATCAGTATTAAATACTACAGAATTTCTCTTAATTTTTGAAGGATCTTTTCTGCTTCAGGCTTTAGGTCATATGATGTAAGTTTTCAGGCAAAATTAATTCACTTAGTGAGGACTGCTGCTCAGAAACTGATATAATTCCATACTCACTAAAGTCTGATTCTATATACACAAGAACAGTTTATTACCCATTGTGAAACTGTGTGCCTTGAAACAAATCCATTTCACAGATATAAACAGCAGTAAATATCATTATGTTAAATGAAAAGCAGTAGATACTTTAAGAAATCTGACTGCCACACAGAATTTACAAATCTGAGACTGCCTTCATGGTAGCATGCAAATGTAAGAATGTAATCTCTGGATGTGAAAATAAATCTCTTTGAAGTGGTCTCCAATAGCAGTTTAATACAATTAAGTACAGCTACAAGCCAAAGTCCAGGAAGCTGAACACCTTCACCAGCACAACCGAAAGCTAAAACTCTGTTCTAATGCAGGCATAAATCACTGAACTTCTGAGAGTATTAAGAAATTTTATTTCCTAAGTGTTATACTATAGCTATAACAACTTTTTCCTCATACAGGTTGGTGGTTTTAAAGGCTATTTATCTTCATCATTTATTTAAAAATAGTTTTTCCATGTTCTTCAATATGTACACTTTCACACTTTACAAACTAAGTAATTTCTTCTGGCTAGCTGCCTTCACAAATCTCTTGCCATGTGAAAAATTTAATATTCCATTCTCTGACATTCCAATTCATCTGAGAAATTAAATTAAAGCTGCAAGTTAAGGTGGTCTATTAAATTACCTTTATATTAGGTACTATTTATGCTGTGCATGCCAAAGAAAGTGCTTAGCATCAGAGCCAGCCTTTAATAAAGTTCCTTGCCTGAAAGCAACATTAATAAGCATCTTACAATTTTTATTAGGGGTATTAAAAGTACAGTTCACCAGTTGTCTACAACCCCAGAATCCATGTAACTGTCATACACAACCTCCCTCTCCTCCACCTCCACTGCATGTCCCTTGCTTCCCCAAGCCAGATTTCAATCCTTTGACCCCACTGACTTCAACCTCCCAGTCCATACCAGCTCTCCAGAGTGAGGCCCCTCAATGGGTCAAAAGAACAAATTAGTGATGCATGACTCAGATCCAGAAATGTAAGGATTAAAGCTGTGTTAATACTACCTGTTCCAGGGGTGAGTTATGCTGCATGTACATGAAACACAAATGCAGGTAATTCTAATGCAAAACATGTCTAAGTTGACACTGTTTAATGAAATAAACCACTCCAAGTTTCTATTAATCCTTTTAAATCCTCTTGCTCGTAATTAGATAGATTTGCTGTTATACTGAATACTAATTAACTTAAATATTAGCTACAGTAAACAAGAACTTTTAACACATTGTTAAAACAGCAAGCAATAAACTGGACTAATATAACACCCACCTGCAAACAAATTAAGGAATGATAAATAAGCCTACAGCAGTATTTATTCATCATACCAGAAGGTCAATTCACAGATATGACACTCAGTTCTCTCCGTCTTTCTTTTTTTTTTTTTTTTTAATCTCAAAGAGTTTATCATACCACAAATATCACAGTACCAGACAAGCCAAGGTATAGTCTGCAGCATGTCTGAAGCAATAGACCTGACAAACGTCAAAAGAAAAAATGTTCATACTGATAGCAATATTCACAGCATTGCATTACACCAGTCATTTTTCCTATTTGGTGACTGAATATTATCTTCTGCTGGTAACAAAAATCAAATCACTACTGTCGAGAAGAGGCACGGAGCTATCTAGTCATGTAACTGACACTGTAAAGACAGGAACCATTATTAAGTTGTTTGGACACATTTCAATACCATACCAATTTCAGATTTACTGTACACTTTATTCCCCTGCATATGTTCTTTACGCTCTTCTCTGGAAAGGAAAGGTTTTATTTATGTTTGATTATTTTAAAATTGATTTTTTCTAATTATTTCTAATTATCTGTGCATACAATTTCTCTTTATTAACCTTCAAACAAATCAGCAGGGAGCTCATAAAGTATTAGTCATATAACCTGATCTATTAGTGTTTGTCTATTGGTCTCACACTGACAAACCAGGCAATTTTACAATTCTTTGCAGTACTTATATTTTCTTAAAACTCAACTTCTGTTCTTCTGGAAAAGTCTTTTAACTTCATAAAGAATTTTCTAGCCAGCATAATTTATTAAGAAAGAGTGCAGGGCAGGACAGAGATCACCTGTGATACTACAGATTTAAGACAGAGAGATATTTTTTAACCTACATGCATGAATTTTGAGGTGTCTGGTATACCATTATTAATACTGCTGCTCAAACTTATATACGGTAACTAATACAGCCATTAATTTAAGTACAGCTGAATTGGGACTCTACAATGAAAATATCCTATTAAGAGAATATTTTTGACCTATAAGATAGTCTCAAGAAATAAAAGCTGAACTGCTGCGCACAAATTCACCATTTTATCAATTCATCTAATCAGACTATATCTGAACTAAATTATGAACTCCTATGTTCCTGAAACCTCCAGGGCTATTAGAAATCTTACTATATAATAGGTGTTAAATTCATGTCTCACCTTGCCCAAAGCCTGTCTTTGTTAAGAAAAAGACTCAGCACCTACTTAAGAGACCAACACAGAAGCTAACTCAGAACAACACTGAGCTTAGTTTTCCCTCAAAGCTGCATCAGTTTCATGGAGAAAAGAACATCAAATTATTTCATTTCTAAATACCCAGAAGATAACCTACTGCTCCTATATTACTCTGAAGCAGTCTCTCCACTCTTCCTGCAATGTGCTCCTTCAAATTACCATTAGCACTGATATTCCTCATGATAGCTTTGGTTTCTTTTACCAGATGTTAGACATGCTTCTGTTGCTTCCAATTTCACAAAGCAGCCTGAGAACCACAATCTAATCATCTCATGTTCCTCTCTTTCATAAATATTTAAGATAATTATATATTTATTAAAAATACAAATATTTTCTAGCACAATTCTCAGTAATTTTCTTATTTCTTTATTTCATACTTTTAAAATTTAATATTACTAACTACCCCATTTTCTTCTTAATCTCAGAAAATTTTAAGTACAATTATAACAGCCCAACAAATCTGTCAGAACAAAAACCAGAGTAGTAGTCTGAACCAGAATTAAATGACAAAGAGAAGGATAAATTAATCTAGATTAATTTTACTAAGCATTGCCTACATTAGGACTTCTTTCTTCTTCATAAGCAGAAAAGATGATTACAAAACCAAAACAGAACTATGCAACATCACAGTGAAGACTGATGCACCCCGCTACGCTTTTCACATCTAGTCTAGGAGGGAGTCTTTCCTCATCTCACTGAGTACTTGTGATAAGAAATTAACTTCTACAAACTTCAAGAATTTCCAAGACTTGCATGACAGCAGTATGGTATTCCCATTTTGATGATATTATGTCTGTGAAGTTGCTATTGTTGTCTGTGAAGTTGAAATTTCCCATTAGGACAAGGGCTTTTGATCGTGAAATATCTCCTAATTGTTTACAGAATTACTCACCAGTGCTTGTATCCTGGCTGGCTGGTACATTCACTACAACATCTCTTTTGTTTTCCACTCTCCTACCTAATCCTCATGCAGATGCTCTGAACCACATCATCACAATCAAACCTCTTCCTTAAGCATAGTGTGACAACTTTACAATTCACACTACTCCAGACAATAGTACAGTGGATGAGAATTAAGATCTTCAATAAACTGTTATTACACAGCCTGGATACCAAATCATTTAAGAAATTAAAAAAAAAAAAAACCACAAAACAATTTCAAGAAGGTTAAAAAGGGAAAACTCCCAACTAGATACATTTTTCTTCTCCTACATCACTATACTTTTACAGTTTTCTGGTAAGTGACTTATTAGAAAGATATTATCCAATTTTCCAGATTATAGATGTCCCCTCAATA